GCCAGACACAACAGCTAGACACAACAGCCAGACACAGCAACCAGACACAACAGACACAACAGCCAGGCACAACAGCTAGACACAACAGCCAGGCACAAAAGCCAGACACAACAGCCAGGCACAACAGCCAGACACAACCAGACACAACAGCCAGGCACAACAGCCAGGCACAACAGCCAGACACAACAGCCAGGCACAACTGCCAGGCACAACAGCCAGACACAACAGCTAGGCACAACAGCCAGACACAACAGCCAGGCACAACAACCAGACACAACAGCCAGGCACAACAACCAGACACAACAGCCAGGCACAACAACCAGACACAACAGCCACACACAACAACCAGGCACAACAGCCAGGCACAACAGCCAGGAACAACAGCCTGACACAATAGCCAGACACAACACCCTGACACAATAGCCAGACACAACAGCCAGACACAACAGCCAGACAACAGCCAGGCACAACAGCCAGGCACAACATCCAGACACAAAAGCCAGGCACAACATCCACACACAATATCCAGACACAACAGCCAGGCACAACATCCAGACACAGCAGCCAGGCACAACATCCAGACACAACAGCCAGGCACAACATCCAGACACAACAGCTACGCACAACAACCAGACACAACAGCTACGCACAACAACCAGACACAACAGCCAGGCACAACAGCCAGACACAACAGCCAGACACAACATCCAGACACAACAGCCAGGCACAACATCCAGACACAACAGCCAGGCACAACATCCAGACACAACAGCTACGCACAACAACCAGACACAACAGCCAAGCACAACAGCGAGACACAACAGCCAGGCACAACAGCCAGCCACAACAGCGAGGCACAACAGCCAGCCACAACAGCCAGGCACAACAGCCAGACACAACAGCCTGACACAACAGCCAGGCACAACAGCCAGACACAAGACACACACAGACACAACAGACAAGGGTCATCATGGACTACCAACAGTATTGTGGTACATCTGAAAAATACATGAACAAGTCTGCAAATGTCAACCCCGGTACAGTGACCCCCACTCATGTTGACAGGTGTTGGCTCCCTCCCATGCAGCACATGTTGGCTCCCTCCCATGCAGCACATGTTGGCTCCCTTCCATGCAGCACATGTTGCTTCCCTCCCATGCAGCACATGTTGCTTCCCTCCCATGCAGCATATGTTGGTTCCCTCCCATGCAGCACGTGTTGGTTCCTTCCCATGCAGCATATGTTGGTTCCCTCCCATGCAGCACATGTTTGTTCCCTCCAATGCAGCACATGTTGGCTCCCTCTCATGCAGCACATGTTGGCTCCCTCCTATGCAGCAGACTATGTTGGCTCCCTCCCATGCAGCACATGTTGGCTCCCTCCCATGCAGTATGATCATCCGGTGAAAATCTTTTGACAATTTCTGAATCTTTTAATTCGTCTAACATTTGGTTATAATTTATCACCATCCATATTCTTTATGTAGCCTGCTGATATTTTCTCATTTTCATTATATGTAACAACGTGAGGTGAAAGAGAATAATGATAGCACAGAACTACTACCCATCACCAGCACCACTGCTACTACTGCTGCTACTGCTACTACTGCTGCTGCTGCTACTACTGCTGCTGCTGCTACTACTACTACTACTACTAGTACTACTATTACCACTTATAATATGATAGGCCAGTAGGCCTCCTGCAATGGTTAGCCCTTTCACCTCCAGTTATCTGTATATACCCTATGTAATACATGCTTATGTTGTCTTGACAAAACTCCTGGAGAGCGAAACGTTGCCGGAATAAAATGCCACATTAGTTGCACGTGTCCTTTTACTTGACATATTACAGGTAATTCCACCAACATTATTACACAAAAGTTATATTACTGCTTGAATGTTCCTTGCAAGTGGTAAATCTCTCGTCGACTACAACAGTTTGGTTCTCAGTCCCTTTGTTGCTTGTAATTAACAGATTAGTCTTCACTGAGGAACTCTATTGAATGTTTTCTAAGAATATGAAATTAGATGTAATCTGCCCATCCATCTTTTTTCATGAATATTTATAACTATCCTTACGTGTTAACGAATTTGATAAATAAGAATTCGCTGATTACAAAAATAAATAGTCTGCTAGTAAGTAGTTTTCTGGCTGGTATGTTATTTTTCCAATTTTTTTTTCCAATAAACGACTGTCGTTGAGACAGACGCTATATTTCAAAAGGTCATATGTCAATTTTTTTTCATACTGGTACTATACGTAGTCATTTTTTAATTGGCAAGACGCTATCTAATTTGGGTCTATTTAAATGTTGTCGATATCCAATAATAACTTATTAACTTCCTCTATGGATTTTGTATAATTTCTTGCATTACCACTGACTGCTCCTACTGCAGCTAAGTGTCCATCTCTGCTCTCTGGATTTTAGCATTATCTCCTGCATTTCTTTCTCCAAGTTTTTGTTATTGTAGTCATCCTTAATTCTTTGCGATTTGTCTTTCACATAGTCAACAGTGAGCAAATATGAAAAAAGAGAGAAATTTCAGCTTTTCTTTTGTCTAATATCTCCAGTCTTAAAGATCATTTTTATTTCCTCCACTGTATATTAATTTTTGTCATGTTTGAATTTTTAGTAAACGTCTTGTTGGCAAGTTTTCTCTGCTGGTTCCAAGTCACTCCTCTCGTGGTTTATGGTTCATCAGCATCCTAAACCCTTCATTTATAATTAATAAAATATGAGAAGAATTTAAGATACATTAGACATATTTTTGGGTAGAATATAAGCTGTGTTTCACGGACCACTGACTACCTTCCAACATCATAAAACATCAGGTGTTGTTTGGGGGGTGGCAGCGAGTTGCAGTCTCGTCCTTACATGCCTTCCTGTTAACCTTTTATTTTTATAGTTCCTTGATAATGTTAGAAGTCACGAAAGCGCTTGGAATTTCGCTATTTTTTTACAGTGGTGGTTCTGCATATTGTGATTATATATATAAAATATATATATAATATATATATATATATATATATATATAATATATATATTATATATATATATATATATATATATATATTTGTCGTGCCGAATAGGCAGAACTTGCGATCTTGGCTTAAATAGCAACGTTCATCTTGCCATATAGGACAAGCGAAAATTTGTGTATGCAATAATTTCGCCAAAATCGTTCTGAACCTAACGAAAAAAATATATTTCATTGTGTTTGTTTAGTATTAAATTACTGTAAACAAATCTAAAATATATTTAGTTGGGTTAGGCTAAAATAAATTGCTCTTGTTAAAACAAGGTTAGGTAAGTTTTCTAAGTTTCTTTTGGTGCAAAATTAACAAAAATTACATTAAGGAAAAAAATATATCTTTAAACGTATAAGAGAAAATTTTGGAAAGGACTTAATTTTAAATGAGTTATTGCTAATTGACCAGTTTTACATATTCGGCACGACATATATATATATATATATATATATATATATATATATATATATATATATATATATATATATATATTATATATATATATATATGCAATACAAGCCACGGGGGTGGAACTCTTTATCTTGAGTACTTTCACACTTCTCACTGCGTCATTAGGAGCTGTGCAATGTTGCATGGGCAGCAACAGGAGAAATAGGGTTAAGTTTTTTCAGAGTAAAGTAGCGCGGTGGCACCAGTCAATATATGACTCAAGTCATATATTAGCACTACCATGCAATGGAGTACAGCTTAAGATATATAAAACAGCAGTCTTCATACAAGGTAGACATGGAAATAAGCATTTCACCGAAGGTGCTCGTTAATCAAATAGCTTTTCTTTTGATTAGTTAAATTTACAAACTTAAACCTATTAACCTTCATCAGTTATTTTTTCGGTGTACTCTCCATTTCCCCAGCCTCCCTTTCCCTTCCCACTTAGAACACGACCTACAACAGTCATCTGATTAAAAATGTACTTCTTTACTACTATGTGAAAAAGGGCATCATTCGTGAGGAAAATGGTCAATGTCTCCACCCGCCCCTGGATCTAGCCCTGATTCTTCTATTGTAATCTGAACGCTCTACTACTGAGTTAAAAGCCGCGCGGTGTAGCACATTCTACTAAGCTAAAAACGGCTTTCGGGAACTTTAATTTATAATCAAATAGGACTATACTAGTGTACTGCCACAGTAGAACAAATGTCTGATCAAGAATGTTCAAAATCTAAAGAAAGTCTTCAGGCTCGATGCAAGACCGAGCCCAGAGTTGACAGGATTCAGCAATGAGGAAACGAAAGGAATGAATCGAACGACAATAGAGAACAGAAGGATCAGATAGATATGATTGCAAGGTATAAGATACTCATAGACTTTACACAAATAACCCGCACATAGGAGAGAGGAGCTTACGACGTCGCAAGTTCCTCTCTTCTATGTGCGGGTTATTTCTGTTCCAGTCACGGTATTGTGCTTTGATGTTCTTTACTCAGAGACTTGGTAAAACGGACAGACAGACTGAAAAGTGATGATCACGAAGGAGAGTGGTATAAATGAAAGCTAAAGAAATATATTAGCCATAGCAGTGACAGAGAATATTCCTTCAAGATAAAGGTAGTCAGAAAGTGCAACAATCTCGATGAGAAAGTGGTGGAAATAGACTTACGCAAAATTTTAAGAATGGGTATGATAGGATTAATGAAGCTAAAATCTGTTAAGTGTGATTAAGCCACCGCTGACCACGTGACCAAGCCAGCATACAACCTCACATATATTCTACATGCACACAACATCCTTTGATAACATTTAAAATCATGCCACACGTCTGTATGAATAACAAAAACACCTTTTTTCACTTCCCTGTCAAACTCAGATCTACATTCGTTTGCAACCTTCAGCTAACTGGTTTTTTTTTCCGATTCTCGTGTCTGTGAAATGTTCTGTGTTTTTGTACACTATATAGAAAGCCATCGTGTTTAATGTTCATATTTATATTGATATGTCGAAATTCTTACAGGCGAGTGTTTTATGGGGCGAAGAAGAGCGGCCCCACTGGCAATGTACACACTGCGGAAGTGGCTCTACTGGCTCACTTAGCACTGATAACAGGTGTAGAGCGGGTGTATGACTGATGTGGGACTAGTGTGGGGCTGATGTAAAAGCAGACAGCAGCCACACTTGAGCAGCCACACAGGCAGCACAACACTGACTGCTGTTGCTCTCACACACACACCTTATACCTACCACCCGCCGCCCCACACACCCTCACACACACACACACACACACCCTCACTCTCCCATACCTCCACACACCAGCCACTCTTTTAATATATTCCATACAGAAGTTATGATGTTGCAATTAAATAAAACAAAAAACTAAAACGACTCTCTCTGTTTTCTGGAATATGTTATATCTCTGGACTTGAAGGATGGGGCAAAACGATGAATGACTCAGCCAATCAGAATCTTAAAATAAAATGTTCAGGATTTTTGATTGGTAAGAGCCAGCAGCGAGGCAGCGAATCAGGGAGCGAGCGAGTGTAGAGCTTGCGCAGGAACTGCCTCTCCTTCCCTCACGTGAGGCACATGCTGTTGTGGTCAACTATCATACTCTTTAATATAAAGCTTTCAGTTACACAATTTCACTTATTATAACGAATGCTGTCGACAGAAAGGCGCCATTCACTGATATTTTCCCAAGGGTTCAATATAAGCATCATTCATACTATTGAGGACTAGGACAGATTTTTTTAATTTCCTGTTGGTACTTTTATATATTATTTTTTCTGATAAGAGCATAATACTCCCAGAGCCATTACTAGTACTGTCTGCTGGAGTCTTTGATAGTGCGGTCTGTGGAGTCTTCACTAGTCCTGTCTGCTGAAGTCCTCAGTGGATTGAAGAATACAATCATAATAAATACAAGAGAAGGCAGGTGTCGCTGGAAGAGGTGTTAGAGGTGGAAGACGCAGCTGCACCTACCACCACCACCTTCACACAACACACAACAACATCTTTTAAAACCTGCCGACATGTGTGCCTTGGTGCATATTTTATAGAGTTTCGATTCTCTTCACATTCTGCGTGTCAGCTGTGTCTCCATACCTCCTAGTTCTTATTTAATTCTCCCAATCACCCATTTCATTTCGTTTTACATTCTATTGCCATTTTTCTTCTCTTATCCTCGTTCAGACTCTTGCGTTAATCCTTCTCTGATCCTTCGATATTGTTCATTACTTCTGTTATACATTTATTTATTCTATTCTTTTCATCTCTTGCTTCGCTCTTCTTGCACTCTATATCATCGTCTTTAGAATCGTTTAGTCATTTTCTCCGCAGTATCTGTATTTAAAGAAGATTTCCACTATATTTTTACAGATTTTTTAAACACTTCATAAACACTATATGATATCATTTGTATTATATTTCTTATTTTACTATATACATCCACACATCCCTTTGTTCTTCTAAGTCTTCTTCTTCCTTGCTTCAGCTAAATAATAAAAATAACAGTAATTTTATTTTGCATTTATGTCCATATGATAAACATCAAACACATCCGATTAACATAACTTTGGTTAACATGCCAGCCTCTCCCTGCACAGAACCACTAGCTTATACGCTCATTCCCTCCAGCGACATATATGACTTCACACTGTATTATTAACACCCCCGAAAGAGGAGGTAAGTTTAATATATACAAAGAATTATTAATAATTATCATGCTTAAATATCCTTACAGGAACACAACAAATCAACTGGTACCTTCAAGGTTTTCCACCTCAGGCTGTGGTCCATATATGACAAAATCCCCAGTCGAAAAAAGAAAAAAAAACATATGTCGATTCGAGACCTTTTGGACCATTTTCAACCTGTGGATTTAGTAAGGGAATGGTGTACAGCAGAAATAAGACGAAGACAGTGGGAGATAAGCAGACAGCAAAGGTCACGTCAAGTCACGTGTGTTTTAAATATTTAGGCGTTTGACACTGCACTGGGAGACGCAAGCATCTTCAGAAGGGGCTAACATTCTGGTCAGGGATGGTTTATTAGGACCGATATAACAAGACGCCGTCTGTGAAGCTTCAAACAAAGAGAGGTAACTTTGGAAGAAGACCAGTTTATGGGATAGTAATGGTCCTTAGCATTGCAGGAAAGAACTGTTATTGTCCGAAGGCGAGAATAATTCTGTAGTCTTTAAGTCTGTCGTCAAGGAAGCGAAAATCTTCAGCAACGTATTAAAGGATGCAAGAGGATCAGGAATTACTACCACCACCAGGAACAGAAAAATTATAAGCACTTTAAGTATCCATAGCAGGATGAGAAACATGAAACAGATTACTTCGAAATGCATTAGGTTGACGAAATGCAATATTACATCCAGAGGTATAAAAGATTCTACTAATTAAGAAACTTTATAAAAATTGTTAGTGGTATATGTAAGAGTGTAAGAACTGTAACAAGGTGTTTAGAATATTAATTTAAATGTAGAACGTGTTTCATTGGTAAAAGAATTATATGATAGTACGAATTATGTCAGTTTCAGGTAAACTAAGAGTGTTACACTGAGTTCAGGAAGGAACAGTTTAGTGTATCAGATGTGTGCCGCTGTTTAACCTAAAGAAAATAAGTAACTCAGGAATGATGCTAGATGACCAAAAGGTGACCCAGTAGTTAACATTTATATTTATATATTCCTTGGAATATCACACTTAATTATCTGAAAACTGTTTAAGATTAATATACTTTTTATAGTCTTGTCTATTTTTATCATCTGTTATGCCATTCCGTGCAACTTATTCTTTCACGAAAATACTATAATTACTATTTCTAAGTGAGTTTAAATGATATTAACTTAGAGTTTAATTGTTCTGGTAATCACTCGATCAGATATTTATAATACACTTTCAGTCACTTATGGAAGCTTATTTCATCAGCCTATGTATAGCAATGGATCGTTCTATAATATCTGATCTGCTCTAGCATCCGTAGCAATCATTTTTATAGACTCACGAAATCGTAATGAAACGATTGCAACAAAACCACGGAACGGGTGGGGATGGAACCCCCGGCATGTGAGTCGTAAAACTCCAGGCTAGTGTGCAAGCCAATTGGCCAGCTGGCTACAATGAGAGTCATCCAACTAGGTATATTTATACACCATAGGGAGGTTAGCATGGGCCACCACAGTGACAACAAATACTACAAGTTTTCACAGATGAATCTCCCGCCAGCGTGGAGGGAGATTCATCTATAAAAACTTGCATCTATGGTCACAGTGGTGCCTATGCTAACCTCCGTGGTGTATATATATACCTAGTTGGACGAATCTTATTGTAGTCAGCTGGCCCAGTAGCTCAGGTGCTGGCCTGGAGTTTTTCGACTCGCTTGCCGCGAGTTCAGTTCCCACTCATACCGTTGTTCAAATGTTTTTTTTATTTGAATTAAAAAACCATAATAATTGGTTTGTTTTTTCCACGGTCAAATTTTCAGTAGCAATTATTTCAATCGTATCGATGTGTGAGGGAGGACAGACGTGACAGTCCCGTCAACGGCCCAGGATTTGACGGCATTGAAACAGTTATGGGAGGATGAAATATGTAACGACAGCGGCTCATCAAAACATTAGTGATAATTCTGCGGAAATGTCATCTACATTTGAGAGGCTCAACACACACAAGCAACACCCATGATGATGTTAAAGCCTCTTTCTGGTGTTGTTTTAGCCCTGACTAGTGTTGTTGGAGCCTTCACTAGTGTTGTTGGAGCCTTCACTAGTGTTGTTGGAGCCTTTACTAGTGTTGTTGGAGCCTTCACTAGTTTTGTTGGAGCCTTCACTAGTGTTGTTGGAGCCTTCACTACTGTTGTTGGAGCCTTCACTAGTCTTGTTGGAGCCTTCACTACTGTTGTTGGAGCCTTCACTAGTGTTGTTGGAGCCTTCACTACTGTTGTTGGAGCCTTCACTAGTCTTGTTGGAGCCTTCACTACTGTTGTTGGAGCCTTCACTAGTGTTGTTGGAGCCTTCACTAGTGTTGCTTGAACCTTCACTAGTGTTGTTGGAGCCTTTACTAGTGTTGTTGGAGCCTTCACTAGTGTTGCTTGAACCTTCACTAGTGTTGTTGGAGCCTTCACTAGTGTTGTTGGAGCCTTCACTAGTGTTGTTTGAACCTTCACTAGTGTTGTTGGAGCCTTCAATAGTTTTGTTGAAGCCTTCACTAGTGTTGCTTGAACCTTCACTAGTGTTGTTGGAGCCTTCACTAGTGTTGCTTGAACCTTCACTAGTGTTGTTGGAGCCTTTACTAGTGTTGCTTGAACCTTCACTAGTGTTGGTGGAGCCTTCACTAGTGTTGCTTGAGCCTTAACTAGTGTTGTTGGAGCCTTCACTAGTGTTGCTTGAACCTTCACTAGAGTTCCTTGAACCTTCACTAGTGTTGTTGGAGCCTCCACTAGTGTTGCATGAACCTTCACTAGCGTTGCTTGAACCTTCACTAGCGTTGCTTGAACCTTCACTGGTGTTGCTTGAACCTTCACTAGCGTTGTTTGAACCTTCACTACTGTTGCTTGAACTTTCACTAGTGTTGCTTGAACCTTCACTAGAGTTCCTTGAACCTTCACTAGTGTTGCTGGAGCCTCCACTAGTGTTGCATGAACCTTCACTAGCGTTGCTTGAACCTTCACTAGCGTTGCTTGAACCTTCACTAGCGTTGTTTGAACCTTCACTACTGTTGCTTGAACTTTCACTAGTGTTGCTTGATCCTTCACTAGTGTTGCTTGAGCCTTCACTAGCGTTGCTTGAACCTTCACTAGCGTTGCTTGAACCTTCACTAGCGTTGCTTGAACCTTCACTAGTGTTGCTTGATCCTTCACTAGTGTTCCTTGATCCTTCACTAGTGTTGCTTGAGCCTTCACTAGCGTTGCTTGAACCTTCACTAGCGTTGCTTGAACCTTCACTAGCGTTGCTTGAGCCTTCACTAGTGTTGCTTGATCCTTCACTAGTGTTGCTTGAGCCTTCACTAGCGTTGCTTGAACCTTCACTAGCGTTGCTTGAACCTTCACTAGCGTTGCTTGAGCCTTCACTAGTGTTGCTTGAACCTTCACTAGCGTTGCTTGAACCTTCACTAGCGTTGCTTGAACCTTCACTAGTGTTGCTTGAACCTTCACTAGTGTTGCTTGAACCTTCACTAGTGTTGCTTGAGCCTTCACTAGCGTT